TGTGCTTCTCCTCTGTTACTCATCCTTCTGGGTTACATTGTTTGCTAGTAACTGCTCTTCACTCCCAGTGTTTTCAGTCAATGTCACTGATTTCTGCTCTATATTGGCCCCTTGTGCTCTGTCCCCTTCTGTATCTCCACTGAAGTCTTTTTGAGCTCTATGCTCTCCTTGATCTTTTGTATAAAATTTTAATTCCTTTGTATGGAATTCAAGGCTCTCCTCAAGCTGTTACCACCATGCCTTGTCAGTCTTATTTCCTACTTCTCTTGTCTACATGGATCTTTATTCCAGTCACATTGGTTTTCTTACCATTCCCTACGCCTGACCCTTACTTTCTTGTTTCCAAATTTTGATCATGGTATTCCCCGTGACCAGAATTCCCTCCTCCAACCAATCTGGCTTCATCTATTGTATTTGTATGTATCCCTCAAAGGCAAATTCAGATGCCATTTCTTTAAATAAGCCTTCCCTGACCACTCCATTATTATGACTTGTGAGTATATCATATCTAATCAACTTTCTTGAAAAACACACACATACACACTTTCTGTACCCAAGAGATCAGGAATCCAAATGAATAACTAGTACCACATAAGAATTTATCCCTCTTTTCTCCAGATTCCAAATCTTTGGTTGAGGCAAATCATATACAGAGTTTTGGTATTGGGGAGCTTGAGAAACTAACCTTTTCGATATCAACTGTATAGCTAAAGCAAACTCTGTCTTGTCAAAAGTGAAGGAAATTTCCATCCTGACTAAATCCCTAGCCATGTATTATTTGGATGTCCTGACTACATTCCTAGCATACACATTTGATAGAAAAATTGACTCCTCAAAGAAAGCTAGAGAAAATGACAGAGAAAAGGATCATGCATTCAATGTTTTTAAATCAGTCCTTCGGGGTAAGGGATAGATGTTTACAGTTTAAAAAAGTCAATGTCTGGTGCAACTCTGGGCTGGGAGGAGCCTCCTAAAGGGGAAGTCCATCCAGGGGCTACAAGGTTCAGAATAGGGATGCTTTGGGGACTGTCCCTAGAGATCCTTTGAGTGAAGTTGACCTATGAGTTTGAGTGATTTCCTGATTCAGTAATGGAATACTGTAGTGATGGCAGCTCCTTGAGGGAAGACGCTGTGTCTTCTATCTGTTCTGAATTATGTGGACTTCATCATGTGTGAAAGTTTGATGACTGATGATGACTATAAAGGGAGAGACAACAGAGATATATGAGAGAATCTATCACTGCTCTGACAACGAGGATGTCATTTAATTTGTGTCTTCCATTATCTTTCTCCAAAGGAGAATCTGCCAAAGTCTCAAGAATCAGAATCCTCAACCTCTGAGCATACTTTCACAACCATAAGCACTTTTCCAAAAACTCACGATCATTTTTAAAAACAGAAATGAACCTGCAGAAGCTGTATCTCCTTGATGACATGAAAAAGGGTCAGTTAAGTAAAAATCTGAGGGAAATTAACTGAAAATCTGATAAGAAGAGGCAGCACAATCCCTGACCCACCACTGCCTCCCACTTACCTGCCCAGAGAGTCCGACTTCTTCTACCCTAAATGGCATTTATAGACTGGCCTGCAGATTATAGGAGAAGGTGTTTCCCATCATTTTAAAGATGGTCAGGAGGGACTCAGTCAAGATGGCTGTCCAAATTGGCGGTGGCTCATAAAACTCCCACATGTCTGCTATAGAAATACCTTGAAGTTCATACCAGATCAAATAATGATTAAGAAATCTAATGAAAAACTACAATAGGTGACTTCATCCACCTCAGAACTTCATGAGAGGTCAGCAAGAAGCCTGTGGACAACAGCACACAAAATGGGATCCAGCACAGGATAGCCTCTCAATGTGACAAGGAATGGCCAGGGACAGGTGTAGTCTGAAGTCTCCACGTCTGAGTCTCCAGCAAGAGTGGAAAGCTCTCTTAGGAAAGCTCCAAGGAGGCCAGAAAGCCTTGCAGAGGAGACCTTTCAAGTATCTGAAAGGGACAGCAGTAGGTAGCAAAGAGTGAGGTGCTTCAAAGCTCAGAGAACAGCCTGGACCCAAGAGTCCTAAGGTCCTTAAAACTCTATCCTGATATACCAGAGAGAGTCTTCAAGATCTAGCACTTTGAACCTCAAAGATCCAGGGTGCCTAATTCCAGCAGATTGAGGTCAAGGCAGAAACCTGGGGCACCCAAGTCAAGACCAAGAGAGGCAGGACAGCCCACCCAAAAGCACAGCAAGTGGCAGAGCGTGGTCCTAGCATAAAGCCCTAATTCATGAACTAAATCTGGAGAGATTAGTAACAACAACAATAACAACAAATGACTAACCTGCATCAAAAATTATTGTCTATCTAGAGGTTCCCAAATAAAAGGAGCAATCAGACATGTAGTAACTGGTAGCAGAAACTATAAAGGGGGAATGGATTTTCCATAAGGATTATATGAATACTTATGCAAAAGATATTTTAAAACATATATAAAAGATATAAAAAATTGACCTGGGAAGTAGATCAAGGAGAGATATTTTAAGAGTCATTGGAATCCCTGAAAAACATGATAAAAATTAATTGTTATATTTCAAGAAATCATAAATAAAATTTTCTCAGATCTATTAGAACCAGAGATCAAAGTACAAATCCACCAATCATCTCCTGAAAGGAACCCCCAAAAGGAAAACTCACAGAACATTTCAGCCAGAATCCAAATTTCCCACATAAAAAATATACCTTGCAGACCTCTAAAAAAACCCAATTCAAGTATAAAGAAATTCTGTCAGGATCATGCAAGATCTTCTTTAAATGAAAGGTGATCTTGGAATACAATATTTTTAAAGGCAAAAGCTATAGGCTTGAAACAAAAAAATAACTTACCCTGAAAAGCAGAATATAATCCTAGAGAATTAAAAAAAAAACGAAACAGACCTTTACTGGAAGAGCAGATTTTCAAAGATTTCTGATGAAAATGACAAAACTGAATAAGGAACTTTAAAATACAAACACAAGAGTCCAGAGAAAACTAGAAAGGTAAATTTCTTTGAGAACTTGGAAGGAGTTGTACGATAGTGTGGTGCTGAAATTCTAATAGGGAAGATGAAATAAGTGTCTCTTCAAAACCTTAATATCTTCAAAGAGCACTGAGGGAGTTGAATAAGAAAGAAGACCTGGGAGTGGATTGTTTCTGTTATGAGGACTTTAAGAGTGGGGAAAAGAAGAGAAAGAAAAGTGAGTACATTAGTATAGAAAGCAGGAAGAAGAAGTTGGGATCTGCTGTTCCTCACAATTGAGTATGTAAGAATAAGAGGAGATAAACAGAAGAAAATGTGGAAGAGTGTACGTCACACAAACTATTTTCAGAAATAAACAAAAGGGGTTTGAACACCCACAGTTTGGTGTAGAAATACATCCAACTTAGGGCAGCTAGGTGGTGCAGTGGATAGAGCTCTGGCCTTGGAGTCAGGAGGACCTGAGTTCAAATCTGACCTCAGATACTTGACACTTATTAGCTGTGTGACCTTGGACAAGTCATTTAACCTTGATTGTCCCACCAAAAAAAAATACATCAAACTGAACAGAAAAACAAGCAAGGATGGGCATGGGGCATTGTTCAAAGAGAAGCTAATACTAGGGAGAGAACAGCTGCAAGCAAAACAAATTTCTAGATTCTAAAAGGAAAATTATATAAAAGGAGAAATAAAAGGAAAAAAAAGTCCCTTCTAAGAGAGTGGCTTAGAATGTCTCTTAGACATTTGGGGAGTGCCTGAACAAACTATATTATATTGACATAAGGTAATATTGTTCCATAAAAAATGAAGAAAGAACTTCAGGAAATCTTGGTTACTACAAACTGATGCAGAATAAAGTGAGCAGAAACAGAAGAATATTTCATACAAGCAGAGCAATGTGGTAAAGAGAAAAAAATGGAAAGATTTAAGAATTCTGGTCAAATTATTTTTGAGGAAATGAGGCCATATGCACATGACAGAAAGTGGAGGCATGTGAGGTAGTCAAAAGAGCACACATTTGAAATCAGATGCCATGTGTCCAAATCCTGAGTCTGTTATTTTTTACCTGTATGATCTCAGGCAAGTCACCTCACATTTCTGGGACACTCTTCTTTATAAAAGGAAAGGTTTGCATTGCCTAATATCTAAGTCTCCTTCTTGCACTAATTATTAAGATCTATGATAGCACAGAACAGGACAGGAGAAGTCATGAAAGCAAATGTCAAAAAAAAAAAGATAATGGTTAAGTGAGACACACTGATAAGTAAGTAGACCAGTTCCCAATCTCTGTTCAATTTCTTCCCTTCCCATTCATCCTGATCATGTCCTTTCTGCTGGCCTTCCTTTGACCTCTAGTACCGCTGTCCTACACTCTTAAATTTCTTCCTTCCCCATTCTCTTCAGTTTGCATACTTCACATTCCACATGTCAGCTATTGTCTGTAACATCAGGGCAAGACCACATAGTTACTGTGCTAGAGAATCCAAATGGATGTGGACCATGTGCCCTACAACTCCCTTACATGGACATCAGATTGAGTGCATGGAAAAAAAGATATTTAAGGGAAAAAAGGTGTTCCAGAACTCAAGCTCAAAAGACACAAAACAGGCAGAAAATGATAGCAAATCTGAAGAAAGAAGAGATAATAAAATGTAAGTGGAGGCAATCACCAAACCACTATGGGGGAAAGAGCTAAATTTGAGAATCTTCTTTCAAGAAAGACTAGGGAACATACTCTTTCTACAAATCAGACCCAAGGCCTGATGTGGCACTTAGAAAAGTGGGTCAATGGTGATGCTTTTGTCATCACCCCCAGTAACCACTCTACCTAATTGGAAATGAGGCCAGATAGTTGAGAGTGATGACACGTATTGTGAGGAATATTCCATAGCCTTTCTTACACTCAACCACAAGGGAGCGCTATTTAACAATACAAAAACCAACACAAAACCCATCAACTGTGGTTTTAATGTGATGTTATCTCCACTCACTTCTGATTTTCTCTTCTTTTCTCCAAACTGAAGACCCAGAGGGAGCCTGATATCGTAGATTAGAAAGACAACCTTAGAACCAAAAAGAATGTTTGTTTAAAATTAGGATCAAGAGTAGCATCTACTTCCCGTATCCTGGTAGAAGAAGACTTGGAACAGGACTGGATCTGGGAAAGGAAGTGCTGACATCTGCTTCCCCATGACTGGACCACCCATGATCTCTGCTCCTGCTTCAGTGATTGGGATCCTCTTACTCTTTGGTGAGGACAATGTCCCTGATCAATTCAATGTCTATATTTTTCAGCTTAGTAGGATCTTTAACTTCTCTCTCTCTCTCTCTCTCTCTCTCTCTCTCTCTCTCTCTCTCTTTCTCTCATACATACAGTGTAACCAATGTATTTGTTTTTCAGGAGGCACATATGGAGATTCAGTGACCCAGCCAGAAGGACACATCACCCTCCCTGAGGGAGCTCTACTCACACTGAACTGTTCCTATCAAGCTAGTGTAACACCTTATCTCTTCTGGTATGTCCAGTATCCCAATGAAGCTCCCAAGCTCCTCCTGAGAGAGACATCAGGAAAAGACCAGGAGAAAGACAACAATGGATTTTGGGCCAAAAATATTAAGGAAAAATCTTTCTTCTACCTGGAGAAAACTTCAGTCCAAATGGGAGATTCTGCTGTGTACTATTGTGCTCTGAGTGACACAGTGATGGGGACTGCAGGGGGAGCTGAACACAAACCCTGAGTGGCATAGGAGTGATCTTGAGTCTGGCCAGCCTTGGGAGGGGAGTTTTATTCTCTTTCCAAACAAACCCTACTGTGGGGACATGCCCTTGAATAGATGAACTCTGTGGGCCCACAGCTGGTGGTGTCATTGAAACTACAAAACAAAGGAGTGAAAGTCTATGGAATATACTAAGCCTCCATCTCTGGAACAGTTCCTACTCTCAGGCATGGACAATTATTCTCTTGCTCTGGTTCTGGGTGTTCATATTTAGGAGTCACTCATGAGAAATACGTTCATTCTTCTTCATAAGCTATAGCATTTTAATTTGAAATTATAATCAATGTAGGTGGAAATAATTCACTAGTAGCCAAGTAAAATCACAGGAAATTGAGACTTATTGACTATTAGAGCTGAAACAGCCCATGAAATCCTTGCAGATAAGGAAAGTGAAGAGGGTACCAAGTCAGGCAGAAGTCACAGCAACATCGAATTTTAAAGTTGGAGAGGACTATAGTGGCCTAAGCTGTGCAATACATTCAATAAATGGTTATCCAACATTTGTTCGTCAAACAACAATGAGTGGGAACCTATCATCTCTTGAGGCATCTTATTTCTCTTTGGGAAGTTCTAGTTGTTAAAAATAGGTTTTTTCCCCTGTTATTAACCCTCAATTTGCCTCTATATAAATTCTACCCAGGCAGTTAGGTCATGCACCAAATAGAGCATTGGGTTTAGAATCAGGAAGACTATTCATTAGTTCAAATCCAACCTCAGACACTTACTAGCTGTGTGACCTTAGGCAAGTCCCTTAACCCTGTTTGCCTCAGTTTCTCATCTGTTAAATGAGCTGGAGAAGTAATTGGCAAACCACTCTGGTATCTCTGACAGGAAAACTTTAAATGGGGTCATTAAAAGTCAGACCCTTCAGAGAAACAATAACAAATTCTACCTGGTACTCTTGGTTCTGCCCTTGGGGTCAAACAGAAAAGTCTAATTTTCATAGCTTTTCAAATAATTGAAACCATATATCACATCGCTATTGAGTCTTCTCTTGTCCAGGCTAAATATTTCATACTTCCTTCAACTGACAGTCAAAAGGTCTTTTGTCATCCTGTTTGCCCTCCTCATTACACTTTAAAGCTAATCAATGTACTTACTACTATAACACAGAGAACTGAATAAAATACTACCGATCAGGTCTGAATAAGATAGATTACAGAGGGACTATCACTTCCTTGTTCCTGGAAACTATTTATCTTTCAATACATTCCAATATCACATGACCTTTTTAGCTTCTGCCTCATAGTGCTGAACAAGAGTGTGCTAGAGCCAGCTTGAACCAAATTGCAAGAGTAGACTATTAAGTTTTTAGTATTGACATTTACATCTTGAGAATTGACAAACTATAAATCAGGATTTCATTTAGCATTTTAGATAGACAAATATAGAAACTTAAGAAAATGATGGAGAATATGTTAATAATACAGATTAAATTATTAAACCTAAAACTATATTGGGGTTCCCTTTTTTTAAGAGCCAGTTGTCAAATATCTACCAGCATATTCCTGCTGCTGACCCAGATTGAGTGTGCAGTAAATTAAAATTTCTAGGTCTTCATCAGATAAATTTCCAACCATCATGTCTCTCCCATTCCATACTAATAAAATTGAATTTTTGAGCCCAAGTGTAAAACTTTATATTTATACCTATTGAATTTCCTCTTTTGGATTCAACTCAATGTTCTAATCTATCGAAATAATTTTTCATCCTGGATTCCAGTTTGCTAACTATCCCTCCCAGTTTTCTCCAATCTGAAATTTTAGTGAGGATGCCATCTATAACTTTATCCAAGTGATTAATGAAAAAAGTTTTTAATGGCCAAATACAGATCTCTGAGGTATCCCAGTGAAGACCTCTCACCAAATTTATAATGCACAATTTTACAACTATTTTTTGAGCCTGATAATTCAACTAGCTCTAAATCCAAATATTATATAGTTCACATTTCTCCATCTTTTCTACAAGAATTTTAAGAGATTCTTCATCAAAAGATATGCAAAATTTAGGTACTCCATACCTAACAACCCCAACTACCAGTTTAGGTACCCCACCAAATAATGAAATAAGGTTATCTTTCCATGATCCATATTTGGTGATGTCATAATGACTTTTAGACTCATTACTTTTGTTGCTAAATATTCACTGACCATCTCTTTTAAAACTGATTCTAGAATTTCTTCAAGAATGTAAGTCAAGCTCCCTGTCAAACTCTAGTTTTCAGATGGTGTTCTCTTTCCTTGAGAATTGGAACAATAATCTAGTACTGGCTAAAAAAATAGTGGCAGATCAGTGGAATAGATTAGGTATACAATGCACAATACTAAATTACCAAAGATCTAGTGTTTAATAAATGTAAAGATCCAAGTTTGTGACTATCTGACAAAAAATGCTGGGAAAATTAGACAGCAGTTTGGTGGAAGCTGGGTATAGACCTGCATTTCAGACCATGTACTGAGATAAGATCAAAATGAGTAAATGATTTAGACATAAAGGGTGATAGCATAAGCAAATTAGGGGAATGTGGAATATCTTACCCATCAGATCTATAAATGAGGGAAAAGTTTATGATCAAACAAGAGATAGAGAGCATTACAGGATGTAAAATAGGTAATTTTGATTGCATTAAATAGTTTTTGTACAAGCAAAACCAACTCACTCAAGATTAGAAGAAAAGCAGAAAACTGTGTGTGTGGGTGAGACGGGGGAGTTACAACAAATTTCTCTAATAAAGGCCTCATTTATCAAATATATAGAGAACTGAGTCAAATTTATAAGCATATTAGTCATTCTCCAATTGATGAAAACAAATAGCCAGTTTTCAGAAAAAGAAATTAAAGGTATCTACAGTTGTGAAAAAAAATGCTTTAAATCATTATTGATCAGAGAAATGCAAATTAAAACAACTTTGAGATATCATCTCCCATCTATCAGATTGGCTAAAATGATAGAAGGGGAAAATGATAAATATTAGGATACTAATATACTGTTGGTGGAGTTGTAAACCAATCCAACCATTCTGGAGAGCAATCTGGAACAATGCCCAAATGGTTATAAAGCTGTGCATGCGATTTGACCCAGCAATACCACTACTAGGTCTGTATTCCAAAGAGATCAAAGAAAATTTACAAAAATATTTATAGCATCTCTTTTTGTGATGGCAAAGAATTGGGTATTGAGGGGATGTCCATCAATCAGGGAATGACTGAAGAAGTTGTAGTATATGATTGTGATGGAATGCTGTTATGCTATAAGAAATGATGAGCAGGATGCTTTCAGAAAAACTTGGAAAGGCTAAATGAACTGATGCAAAGTAAAGTGAATAACTTAGCTATTCTTAGCAATATGGCAATCTAAGATAATTCTGAAGGACTTATGATGTAAAACATCATCCACTTCTAAAGAACTGATGGAGTCTGAATACAGATTGAAATATACTTTTTAAAAAACTTTATTTTTCTTGGTCTTTTTGGCTTTGTTTTCTTTCACAGCATGACTAATATGAAAATATGTTTTGCATGACTGCACATATACAACCCAGATTAAATTGCTTGCTTTCCCAATGGTGTTGGGGTGGGAGAGTAGAGAGGGAAGGTGAGAATTTGGAATTCAAAATTTAAAAAAAAATGTTAAAAATTGTTTTACATGTAATTGGGGAACTATTTTCCCTTCTCCAATATTTTGGTTTCTCTCCCTTTTCTCATGATCTATCAAATACTACTAACAGTGACTTAGCAAACACTTTTATTTGCCAATTCCTGCAGCACCTGAGGATATAGGTCATTTAAACCAGAGGATTCACATCCATCAAGGCCAACTAGATTATTTCCCACCACCAGTAACTTAGAAGTAATGTAGAGATAATTAGAGGTAACAGAGATTGTTTAATTGAAAAAAAAAATCTGAAAAGTTGTGGTCCTTTATTTGGCATTTCAATCTTTGGCCAAAAGAGGGCAATGTTTACAACAAATTCTTTCACCTACGTCGCTAGGGTGCTGGTAAAGATTTAGTCTGTGGCTTGGCAAATGTCTTTTGGAATCAGTTGTCACAGACACTGTATACCCAGAGTGATGCTGCACCTCATTCAGGTCTTACTAGTTTTCGAAGCTCTTGCTGAAGGCAGAAGGCATTAAGAACCTCCTGGGAGCCCATTAGTCAGCCTGTGGATGCTATTAACCTGTGAGTTTGGCTTTTTTCATTATTTCCTCACAGAGAGTCCCACTGGTTTGGAAGCTCCCTGCCAGGAGGGAAATATTTCCTCTTTATTCTTAGAAATGCTCCAATCAAGATCAGACATGTATGTAAGCTGCAGAAGCATTTATGATGCTTAGAAGGAGCTTCAGTAGCATGACAGGGACAGAAAAATAAACCATTGCATTTGAGAGAATGTTCACATCTCACGAGTCTCCTCTTTCTTCTGCTTTCTTTCTGAATATGTCTAAATAGCTACCAATTACAACAAAGTCCCCAAGCATCCAAGGAAAAAAAAGCTGTTAAGGTGATTTGCCATACTTTTTACATAGCTTACATTGATACAGGAAAAGTCCTATTTTCTTGTTCATCTTAGTGAAGAAGAGGGAGATGAAGGGTCTGGAAAACATAATTGGCCAGTTAGATATGAAAAAGCAGCATAGTTTCTTGCTTGTCATGTCTTCCCCTCCCAGAGATTTGACCACCTATTTGTACGCTGCAGTGATGTTCCCTGGTACCAGCACCCTAAACACAAGCTACCTGCACTTGCAGATACATATTTATTTTCATGGGACCCTTTTTAATGATAAGGAAACATTTTCTAAAGAGTTTTGTCCACAAAAGAAAAACAAAAGAATCTCCAAATTTCAAGATGGCTCTTTATTACTGTGCAAAATTCACCAGAAATCCAACATGAATTCATTATCTTGTGCTAAGGTATCTCTCTTGACATAAAGAAGCCATATATGTTTTAGTAACTTTTCGATTCTCTTCTAAACTTCTGTTCAGATGATGTGGAAGCTTTGGTATTTAAGATTCTACAAAGTAGAAAAGTCTCAAAGCATGTGCAGTGTTAATTCACAAATTGTTAGAAAAAGACACAACATAAGTAAGCCAATAGAAGTACCACTTTCATCTTCTCCCAGGTCCACTTGGTTGCCTCCATAATTAAACAGTTCCATTTTCTCCCATCAGATTGAAACTATCACCTTAAATTCTCACAACGCTTACAGCTCTTCACATTTGAACTTTGCCCTAAAAGATGAAGTTTTTCCGCATTTCCAGTGGAAATCTCAAACTTGAACTGTATTAGGATGTGTTTCTGAGAATAATTTTTATAACTCAAAAGAACACATCTCCATTATTTTTTAAGCCTTCTTTTTCACACTATCCCTCAACCCAAATCTTAAAGTCTAGGTTTCTAGAGGAGGAACATAAACCTATATCTTACTGGCTCTGAGGCCAACTCTCTATTCACCATGCTAAGTTACCTTGATTACATGTGCATTTTAAAACCAATATATGTGATTCCATTAATATGGCAAATTACAGACCCTTTAGCAATGCCTACAGGGATCCACAAAAGAAAAACAAAAACATTTGGTCCTACTCTCAAATATCTCGTGACTATCAAAAACAAACCCATATCCACCCAGCCAAGCCCCCCAACATGCAAATGAAATCATCTAAAACAATCAAAATATACCTTAATAAATTCAAAATAAGACAGGGGGTGGGGTGACACTTCTGTAGTCCCAGTTTCTGGTGAGGCTGAGACTGGGAGCTTGAGTTTGGGAGTCTTGAATTACAGCAGGGCTAAAATCATTCAAATGTCTGAGCCAAGTCCAACACTAATA